CTCATTGCCTTTACAGAATGAAGCTGCACTAGCTGACCTGACAGTTAATCTATACTGTCTCCCCTTCCGGGGAAGATCCCCATCCTGAAGGAATAAGATTTAGATTTGCATGAACATGGCTGTATCTTCCAGAGCATCCAAGGGTAATACAAATGTAAGTACTAGGATGGAACACAAAAGGGGTGATAGCTTGTGTTAGCCCAAGTGCCTTTACAGAATGAAGCTGCACTAGCTGACCTGACAGTTAATCTATACTGTCTCCCCTTCCGGGGAAGATCCCCATCCTGAAGGAATAAGATTTAGATTTGCATGAACATGGCTGTATCTTCCAGAGCATCCAAGGGTAATACAAATGTAAGTACTAGGATGGAACACAAAAGGGGTGATAGCTTGTGTTAGCCCAAGGTAACTGACAGTCCTCCCCTGAATCCCTAGTCAACTCCCATTATGCTACCCAAGGGGGAGAGAGCAGGAAGCATGTGGTAGGATTCCTGATACTTTGATTGGAGGATTAAAGGAATGCGAGCTGGAAGAGCAATATCTACCTATCTTTTTCATCTTCAAGGAGGCTTGCACACAATGTTCGAGTGAACTATTTTAGGAAGCCCTCTCCACCACTGAGTCTGTTCTGAGTAGGCATGATACATGGACAGTCACAGGGACCCCATTATTAAGTGGCAACTAAACTTCAGACACGTGGCAAATTTCCAGGATTTTGTCCCCACCATACAGAGCCTTCGTGGGATAGGGAGCATCTAATCATCTCTTGCTCACCTGGCAAAACACAGTAACAATGCGAACACAAAAAACAAGCATGATGCAGAGTAGCAGAACAAAATGGCACGAGTTCTATACCACTGCTATAGGAACCCTAAGTTCCACCCTTTCTACGAGAGAGCAGAGTTTCACAAGGACACCTAGTACACAACTCCAAGTCAGCTAGCTAGGAGAATGTGATCTCTCAAGAGCACAAAGAAGAATCCATGTGAACTACCATTTAAAGAAGCATGGCTTTCAACAAGCATCTCCAGTTTTAATTCCCCTCACGTGGTTTATTTGCATTGGTGTCTCTCAATAAGTCAGACAGACTTGACTCCTTAGCTGAAAACAGGTCCAAAACCTTAATCTTCAGGCATGGCTGGCCACAGCTCAGTGAACTATAAAACCACTACCATCTGAATTGATCAAAAAATTCAGATTTTAACTTTAGACAACACGCCAGCCCCATGATTTGAAAGTAATGTCTTATTTTGCTTTGTAGTCATCCTTGCTGGTACAAGTTGTACCTCCCAAACCCGGGATTCTCTGGTCCTACAACATCATTGTCCCACGAACATCCATGGTCACGCCAGATAAGAGCCTCGGAGCAGGAGGGCCAGCAGATGAGAGAGGCATAGCCTAGCAAGTTTGGTAGCAGTAGGGCTGCTGGGACCACAGAAGCCCAAGACAGGAAGCCTGGCCAGGGTGGCATTAGCAGCAATGTGATGGGCCTGCCTGGCATCCAACAGCCAGGTTGAGGCTACAGCTACAGCAGCCTGGAAGGGGAAGCCAGGCTGGGGCCATGTGCTGGCAGCGGGGTGGAGGCTAAGACAGAGACAATCTCCATCAGGCAGTGTAGCAGCCAGAAGCAGGGAAAGGGGCTACGTGCTGCCCCGACGACAGCGGAGCTGGGGCTAGGGCTAGGGTTGGAGCTGGCCAGCAGGCAGTCCAGCTGGGCCAAAGGAGCCGGCAGCAGGCTGAGGAGCTCGTGTCAAGGGACCTCCAATTGTCCAGCAAATTCCCTCATCTGAGATTGGTCGGGTCCCAAGGGTGCCAGATCAGGGAGGTACAACCTGTACTATCAAAAGTTCATTTGTCTCCATTATGTTTAGCATTTCTCAGCTGTGAAAAGGTTACAAATAAGGGGTCCTGACTAATTTGAATTGAGATTTTATGAGAAGATGAGATGAGTAAGTTAGCATATTAGGAGTTCCGTCATCTGCAAATGCTAGCCTATTATAAATACAAATTTGATCATTAACAAGGTGTAGTGCTTGATTTTAACTTACACAATAGCTGCAGAAGAGCTCCTCATGTCATGGGGATAGCTTACTAATGAAACACAGAAGGAAAGGTAGGAGGTGCCAAAATTTAAGACTAGACTAATATTGACAGGTCCTCCGTTACAGTACGTGCTATCAAATTCTGAGCTAGACCCGAGACAGTGCATCTAACCATTTTAAAGCTGAAGTAATTTTAAATATTCTTGTAGAGCTTAAATAGGAAAGTATTCATGATAAGAGATATACTTACAGTTTGCATAGCCTGAAAGGGAGCTGCATTTATGGTAACAGAACTGCTGCTTGCTGGAGGAGATTGAAAGGTTTGCCCCTGTGATACTGGTGACATGGAAGTGTTTGAAGTAGGTAGAGGTGACTCTGGTTCTCTTGGCAGAGGAATAGCTGCCTGAGAGGAGCCAAAAAAACATCAAGTGACTTTACCATGTAATCAGGCAGTAACAAATTAGTTTTCTAATGCCTACACCGCTAACTTCTTTACAATTTTACATTTGGACATGCAAAGCAGAATAGCTTTTGCTTAGTTTCAAATCTTGCTGTGCATCCTCATAATCAGTACTGCTATTGCATTCTACTGATTAAGCGAAACAATGTCCATTGACTACTAAACAATCACCTATTGTCAACTCCCTACAAAAAGGAAGCTACAACATGACCAGACAGCATTTTTCACAACTGGAAAGATTATAAAGCATCTGCTACTGTATGAAGATTAAAGTAGACCTCAAAAATGTAGAAAGTAGTCTCTCTGGAACTGAGGAACAAGTATGGTGACCTCTTTCCCCATCAGAAAGGCTCAGGTTTTTTTACCCAAGTGGTCAGTAATATAGTGCTGAAACAGTCTGCTGTTAACTCAGCACCAAATCAATGCCTATGTGCAAATACATGAATACTGTTTAAGCCTCCATATTTGTCTCTTCCAATGCTAAAATGAAGGGTGCTTCAATCAGCACAGAAAAATGCTTCGGCAGAATATCCATGCACCATAGACTGTTAAGTTAGCCTTTCACTCTAAGCAGGGAGAAAGGCTAACAAAATGAAGGCTTCCAGTTGAGATATACTATTGATACCAAGTATTTAGCATACTAAGTAAAACAAAACCCAATTCAGTTCAGAAGCATCTAGTCAAATTTACATTGTTAATTTTGACTTGAGTTTTTCCAGTTAAGTTTATGAACAGAAATTAACTGCTTTTCCACATATGGTTAACTCACCTGAGCAATTTCAATGTTCTTGGCTATAACTGGCTCAGAGGCACATGGACTTGTCTGAAAAGGTGGCTGAGATGAAATCTCAGTCTCTTGAGAAAGCGGTTTGGATGTCTGAAAGAACAAAAACCTTGACACATGCAATCTAGTTACTCGTAGAACGTTGCAGAAATAGGGAAATAATTGGAAAAAGTGTTGCAGTAGTGAAAGATAACGATGATTCACTGTGGATATACTCTGATCTAGATCTTACAAGACTTGATATGCAGCTTGAAAGATGTACACTCAACCTGTTTAGCCTCTGAAGATTTCAAATATTGACTTGTGTAAGGTTAATATGGAGTTCCCTTAATTATAGGCAGGGCCAAACTTACCATTTAGGCAGATACTTTCCATACTAGGCTGAATAGTTTGGAAAATTTCAGTCACTCATTCAGCAGTTGCTGAACTGAACAAGGGAAAACTTTTGCAGTCTTCTCAACTTAGTATCCCCATTCTTTGTAGCAGGAATTTTAAGTTTGGCAGGAATGGAGTGTCAAGAATGTGCCTTTTGCTCTTCTTGTGAAAAATCTATCCAAGTTGTGCCAAGCTATAAAGCTCAAAAAAGACAGTTACCTGTTTCTGTAACCGGCGTTGAAAGCATGTTGCTCATGTCCATTCAACGTAAGTGTGTGTACTCACCACATGCACCAGTGCCAGAAGTTCTTCCCTTAGCAGTATCCCTATGAGACCAGGATCAGTGCCCCCTGGAGTGACATGCACATGGCCAGGCTACGTACGGTGCTCTTGGGTCCCTCCCTCAGTTCTGTTTTGCTGGGAAACTCCAGAGGGGGAAGAAGGGTGGAAGGTTGAATGGACACGAGCAACACATCTAGGTTTCTTTGAATGCGTGCTCATCTCCTTTCAACATAGGTGACCACAAGCAGTATCTGTGGAGCAGAGAAGGAGTCTCAAGAACACATGGATTGCTACAGTTCTAACAAACACTGCATCGTTCGTAGCATAATGCATAATCAGTGGGCTGCGAAAGGGTGCACTGAGTATCATACTGTATTATGACTCACGTCCTGGATAGGGACATTTGCTAAAGGAGGCTGTGGGTGAGGCCTGGGCTCTGGTTCAAAGAGCCTTGACCAAGTCTGAGGCTAGAATACCTGCTAGCTCGTAGCACATGCAGACGCAGGTGGTCATCCATCTTGATCTACTTCTGGGATTATTCCAAAATGGCCTTTCATCCTATCCATGTAGGCCATGTGGATTTATTGTCCAGGTAGAACATGAGGGCCCTCCTGATGTCTAGACCATGAAGATGTCCTTCATTAGTCATGTGAAGCTTTGGGTAGAAGACTGGAAGGAGGATGTCCTGGCCCATATGAAACACTGAGACCACCTTCAGGAGAATTGTTGGGGATGGTCTATCTTTGAAGACGACTGTAAAGTGGCTCAGATTTTAGTGCATGGAGTTTGGAAACTCTTCAAACAGACTTACTGGCAATGAGAAAAGTCACTTAAGCGACAGAAGTAACGAAAGACCAGCAGCTCAAGTTTTGGACCCTGAGCCTAGCAAGGACCAAGGGAAGATCCCATTGAGGAAGAGGGGTCAGAGCCTGTGGCAATAATCTTTCCAGGGCCTTCAAAAAATGGTGCACAAGATGTGAGAAGATGATTAAGCACCCTTTGATTGGTGGATGAAAGGCAGAAATTGCCGCAAGATGCACTGACCAAGGTGAGAGACACCTTGTTTTGAGTATGCGATCTCCTGCTGGCTCAACCACGGAACAGCTGAAGACTGTCATGTTCCTGGAACAAAAGATCTGGGAAACATAACAGATGAGGGGCCTGCTGCAGGAGGCTCATTAGGGTGCAGGAACCAGTGCTGGCCAGGCCACACTGGGGCAATTAGTATCACCTCGGCAGACTCCTGCCTGATCTTCTGGAGGACCTTGCTGATCAATGGGAGGGAATGTGTTACATGAGATTGCTCATCCAAAAGGGAAGGAAGGCATCTGAGGGAACGCCCGCCTCTATACCCATCCTCAAGCAGAAGGTGGAGCACTCTGCATTGCAAACAAGTACGTTCAGAGCCCCAGTTCTGGAAGAGCACAAGAGTGACCTCTGGATGGAGAGACCACTGATGGTGAGATGAGAGCTCTCCTCAGTTTGATTATATTGTGAGCTCCAAGGAGGTGACATGCCTCCAGTGAGATGTGATGGTGGACACAAGTATCAGAGAAACAGTAAACCCCTCCCTCCATGATGTGGCGGCATATGGTGACCGTGTTGTCTGAAAACATGGACCACTCTGCCATGTAGGTGAGGTAAGAATACTTTGCATACCTTTACTGCCCTGAGCTCCTTGACATGTATGTGGATGGCCTTGCTCTGGGGCCCCTGATGCTGAATTTGAAGTGATCAGAAGTAAGCTCCCCTGCCTTCTCTAATGCCTTGAATACCAATTCAACTGAGTGCTGGGGCTGCCTGAAAGTGACACCAGCAAGGATATTGTGGAGTTCCATCCACCCACCACTGCAGGGAGTGGAGGATGTGCGGCAGAACCTCAATTACTTGTTTGAACATGTGCTGAGTTGGGGACACCAGCCAAAGCTGGAGCAGGCACATCTTGAGCCTGGTGAAAAGCACTGCATGTGCATGCTGCCGTGTGGCCAAGAATGCATAGATAGGCCCTCACCATGATCACAGGGGCAAGAGACAGCTACCAGACTAGGCCCTGCAAGGCTTTGAATCGATCTTGGAGGGATGCCATGGCTATAGTGGAATCAAGTACTGCACAGATAAACTTGATTCTGTGCCAGCATCAACGATGGCCATAGTGACCAGGAGACCGAGATAACAAGACAGAGCTAGGTCTCACTGGACATTGCACTGTGACCAGCCCATCTTCCAGATATATCCCTATGTGAATTCCCAGCCAGTGCAGGTAAGATGCAATCACTGACATGCACTTGGAGTACCCTGGGCACTGTGGCAAGGCCAAAAGGGAGGACTGCAAACTGGTAGTGGTTGTGTCCCACATTGAACCTCAGAAATCATTTGTGTCCTTCAAAGTTTGCACTGTGGAAATATGAGTCCAAGGGGGCAGTACATCAGCAATAACTGCCAGGGTGACTATGCAAAACCTGAAGCAGACCAGCTAGTGATACAAGTCTCAGGCCTGAGGCCCTGTCTGGCTTTGGGAATTAAGTAGTATTGGGAGTAGAAACCCCAGTTGTGGAACTGGACAGGTACCTCTTCTACTGATCCCAGGCAGAGCAACTCCTTAACCATTGGCTTGAGAAGCTGCTCATGAGAAGGGTTCCTGAAGAGGGTTAGAGGCCAGTTGTAGTGAATAGCCATGCTGTACAGTGGCCAAGATCCAACGGCCCAATGTCATCTCTGTTGAGGCTAGGAGGAAGGGGTGGACACAAGAAGCAAACAGACATTTTGGATTCTCCCTGTGACCCTCAGGTGCAGCCTCAAAAAGGCCTGCTTGCCAGAGGGCTTGGGCTGGCTTGACCAGGGATACCATGACCTTGCCTCTTGCAGAAAGGCTTTGGGCACCCCTGCAGTGGGTGCTGCATCTTGGGTTGAGCAGGCCAAGGCTTAAGCTTTTTCCTGCTCCAACTCTGGCAAAGATCCCCAAAGTCTTTAGGGTTGTGTGGGAATCCTTGAACTCATGCAACTTGGTGTCTGTGTTCTGCAAACAGGATGTGAAATCAAAGTGGATGCCCTGGACCAAATTCTAGGCCTCCGCTGACCAGCCCAACAGAAGCATCCATGTGGGCCTCCTCCTGGGTATTGTGCACATCATGGACTGTGCTGCCGATTCTGCCCTTTGATACGGCCTGCAGAGTCACCTTTGCCTCGGCAGCACCCTCATCCAGCAGCACCTTAAACGCCTTCCTGGATGCTGTGGGAAGCGAGGCCTCAAACCTGGACATGGACTGCCATGAGCTTAAGTGCTATCCAGTGAAAGGGGCCTGATGATTTGCTACAGAGTTGAAAGCTGTCCAAGGAATGAAATTTACTCATTAGTAAGTAGACACATCTGGACCCCTTATTTCTTGGCATGGGAGTGGGTTGCCCTTGCCACTCCCTGTGGATCACTGATTCTACCACCAGATAGCTGGGCAGTGGGTGGGTACCAAGGTAGTCATGGCCCTTGGCAGGTACAAAGTACTTCCTCTCTGCCCTTTTGAGATAGGAGGTATAGATGAGGCAGTTTGCCAGAAGACATTGGCAATCTTGGCTATTCCTCCATACAGTGGCCGGGCTAGTCTGGCCAGTACCCCCGACCCAGAACCCTGAAGACCTCCTTGACTTCCTCCACCTGGAGAAGGAAGTGGGCTGCTATCCTCCTGAAATCCTAGTAGACCTTTGTATATTCGGAGGAACCACAGGTGGCGGAGTTACAATGGCCTCATCTGGCAAAGAGCAAGATAAGGCTTGGCCCCCTGATCCTCTTCCAAAGATGGTGATTGGTCCCCTACCCACTTCAATTGAGGCATGAGATGCCTGCTCACCTCCCGTGCCTGGACACAGCTTGTAGTGGTGCCAAGGAAGGCTCCAATTCTCTGGCTGCTGAATGGAGCTGCCTGGGACTTAACCTGAATACCCCAGGGAGTCCAAGAGCACCACAGCACCTGTGATTGCAGCTGAAGCCAAGAAGTGCTTTGGGAGGCCATTTGTGACATTGGGTGGTACAGTTCTGGGTGCTGGGGGTAGGGAGGCTGAATCTGCCACAGTGCCTGCCAAGCAGACACTGGTGGAGGCCCATGACCTGGAGTGTGCAGTACACTTCTTGTGGCGTAGAGATCCTGATGCTGACTGATTTCAGTTTCCAAATACAGGGCATGGAGTTTCTTCTAAGGGGGCTCCTATGCTCAAGGTGTTCCGTGCAGTTGAGGGATGGCATCAGGATGGAGATCTCCAGTACCAGGACATGGATATGAATGGATAACATGAGCAACACATCTGTGAGCAGCAGCATTAAGGGGAAAGGTGCCATAGAAAAGGCAAGTAGTGCTTAGCATGGTGAGAACTGTATGGGGAGTCACTCTCCTTATGGTACCACTATGGCTATGAGGCACATGTGCCTCAAGTTCTGTGCTCCAAGTCACTGTGATAGCATGCTGAATTCAGTGACCCCTGCGCTGATCTGGTGACACTGCGTGCAGGCAAGTGACAGACACTCAGCAACAGAGTTGTAAAGAGTGGTTCCTCCTATGCCTGGGCCTGTCCAGTCCTGTGGAGGATAACAGCATGTTAAGTTTATCTTGTGCTGCCTAAAAGACCTCCAGCGTGGAAAGAACTTTCACATCCATGGCAGGCAACAGACTGAGCCAGGCAGGGGCAGTCTGCCTGCAGGGGTATTCTCTCTAGAATGTTTCATGAGAGAGTCCCCTTTTCGGCCTTCTTTTGAGGCATGGGAAAGCAGACTTTGGCAGTCTTCTTAGGCTTAGTCCCTGAGAATACCTGGTGCTGTGCCAGCAGCACTGGAGGAGCACTCTGCACCAAGGCTGAACGAGGCTCTTACAGTGCTCAGGAGATGCCATAAGCAGAACCCTTAAAGGCCCCCCATCTCATTGTTCTGGGGTGAAAACAGCTGCAAAACCTTACACTTGGAGATGTGAGATTCTTCAAAATGGAGGCAGTCAGTGTTTGGGTTGCTAAGTGGCATAGGCCTGCAACACACAGCACTGGCTTCAAAGCCAGAAGAATGGGGGGGGAGGGGGGAAGGAACAGTCTATCCCCAGGCTCAGGCTCAATGGGGGGAGACTACTCTATTGCCAATGGGAACTATTTAGAATTAGAGGGAATGACTCTGGAGCTGGAGCAGAGTGTTCCAAGCACTGTCACTGATGGCAAAAAGGAACTGAGGAGGGAGGGGCCCAGCAGCACCCTAAATAGCATGGCATATGTACACTACTCCAGGGTGCCTTGATCCCAGTCCCCTATGAGTACTGCTGAGAAAATCTTCCAGCATCGGTGCATGTGGTGAGGACACACCTATGTTGAATGGATGTGAGCAAGCCCTAGAACAGTGTCTCAAGCTTTTTTTATATAAAGTACCCCTATTTCAAAAAAAAAGTACCCCCACTACCTACAGTTTTCAGACAATTTTTTTCTACCATTGGAACACATTTGTTTAAGCAACTTAATCATAACTGGGTGGGTGATGACATTTTTGCGTATAAGTTAAAAAATAGTAAAGTGCTGTAAAACTTAACACAAAAATTCAGTTCTCCAAATTTCAGTTGTGTTGACGTACTCCCAGACTTCGAGTACCCCTAAGGGTACTCGTACCACTGGTTGAGAAACATGGCCCTAGAAGAATGACTGCAATTTACACATGTTCAATAAAGGCTTCATAGTTCAACCAAGGATTCTACTCTCATTGCAGTTTATATTAAACTCCTGTTAATCTAGAAACTGCATGCAAATCAAAGACACTGAGCATACTTCCTAGCTCCCGGCTGCTGTAGGCCAGGGTGCCTGCCTGTCCTATCAATAACCCCCTTTTGCTACCCAGACAATGTGGGATGAAGCAACTTGACTTGAAAGCTCAAGGAACAAGGGGCACGGAAGAGTAGACTGAGGAAAGGCAGGCAGGGGGGACTGGATTGATTGGCAAGGGGAAAGGAAAATTGAGCAGAGGGACTGATTGAGGCAATAGGAGAGGAGGCTAGGACAAGCTAAGTAAGGAGTCTTGGACTAGGAAGTCAGAAGGCAAGGAAGATGTGAGTGGGACAAGGAGCCAAGGATGCATAAGAGAAGACTGGCACAGCATCAAGCTTGGGGGTACAAGCAGAACAGTGATAGCACACCTCCAGAGGTCATAATAGAACATAAGACTGTCCAGTCTCAACATTCCTGTGTCAGATATCCATGAAAACCCTATAGAAAAAAGTGTGCACCTAGTCATCCTTTTGGGATAGCTGTAGTAGTTCACATAGAATGACAGCCTATCAGTTTCTGAAGTTGCAGAGGTCAGTGTGGTGGATCTAAAGACTGCAACCCTTATGATGAATCATACAGGTGTCCATATGATGCCACTGAGAATAAACTAAATATTCTTTAAAAAGCCATTGGATAAACTGAACACAAACTAGGTTAAGAGTAAGACTGAGGTTGCAGAGTCAAGCATTCAAGAAATGCCAAAATTAGAATGGCTGGTACAAGCTACATTTGGCCTAGTTGCACACATGAATTATAATAGTCACACACACACACAGGACTTCTGCCTAATTCAGTCTATAGGGTAGGTCAGCAATGGCAATGAATCAGGGCTGCGTACTTGTGATTATCTTTAGGACCCTTGCCTCATTTGTTGCACACATCCAAAGTTTAGTAGGAAATGAGAACAGTGAACTGCAGGAAGAGAAAGGATGGTCTCCTGGTTCAGGGTAGAATTCAGCTGTCTTGAGAACTGGGTGCTATTCCTGTCTGCCACAGATTTATGTAACAGGACAAAATCATTAAAACCAAGCTTTTCATGAGTGGTCACTAGATATGGGATCCTCATTCTCTGTAGGCATGACTTGAGACCAAGGACTAGGGGCATCAAGTTAAGGTTTGTTGTCCATACAACCTTAATTCTGGCATTTCCTACCTTGAATCAAGCTGGAATCAAGGCAAGACACAGGGAGGGCAACTAGTCTTGGTACTTAGAAGTACCTGTAAGCAATTGAGTGGAGTCAATGGCTTTAAAAAAAGGACTTCACAACTTAAATGTTCTTGCTAATGTAGTTTGTGTGCAAGAGAAGCCTCCAGAAAAGCAATGACAAAAATAGCTTATCAGCAAGCTAAACCTCTTACCTATCCTGATTAGGACAGTTTGTACACATTTGCAGAGATGCATTAAGAGGACAGGCCTGGTCAAGAATTAAGCAAACAGTAACAAGTAGTAACAAGGTTTAACACTATTTCCTTATACCAATTAGAATTATTTGATGGCACCTAACTCTGCATTACAGCTTAGCAATGGAAGTGTGATAACTACCCTCCTATGTTACTTTGGAAAGTGTACAGTGTACACTGATGAGCCATCTAGTCTGCCCTAAATGAAAATTTAGGTAGTTCTCATAACAGCATGAGGGTTGGATGTTAAGTCCAATGGAAGAAACTAACTTTCAAGCACACAACTTCATTTAGCAAAAATAAAAATAAAAAATAAAGTTGAAAGTTTTTGTAACTACAGGCAGTCCCCGGGTTACGTACAAAATAGGGACCGTAGGTTTGTTCTTAAGTTGAATCTGTATATAAGTCGGAACTGGCGTCAGCTGCTGCTGAAACTGATCAGTTTCAACCGCGGCTGAATCTGGATGCCAGTTCTGACTTACATAAAGATTCAACTTAAGAAACCCAGGCATCCCCAAGTCAGCTGCTGCTGAAACTGATCAGCAGCTGATTCCAGGAAGCCTGGGGCAGAGCGGCGGGGGTGCTGCGGGGTTGGTCCAGTAGCACCGAGGAGCGGCGCTGCAGGACCAACCCGGCAGCCCCCAGCTGCTCTACCCCAGGGGTAGGCAAGAAAAGCCTGGTCTGCTGGGGGGCGGGCACTAGCTGCACCCTTCCCCCCCCCAGCAGACCAGGGAGACGGGGGTGGCAGGACCGCCCAAGTCCTCCACGGCTTTGTTCCATCTCCCTGGTCTGTTGACCTGGGAGACGCAGAGCAAAGCCGCAGAGCACACGGGCAGCGGGACAGTCCAGGCGCGCCGCAGCTGTCCCACTGCTGGCATGCTCCGAGGCTTTGCTCCCCATCTCCCTGCAGACCAGGGAGACGGGTAGCAGCTTTTCTCACCCTGGAGGACGGGGGCGGCGGACCGCAGCGCATCTGGGCGTCCCGCCACTCCTGTCCTCCAGGGCGAGAAAAGCCCCATTCGTAACTCGGGGACTGCCAGTATTCAGTTCATGCTGTAAAGCAATGCTGCTAACTCCAATAGTACATTTACTGCCAGCTGTAGAGGCCTCATACAGAACAGGCAGGCAAACTTCTCATGTTAATATTTAGGTATCTGGCCTGAAAACAAAGGGTATTCTTAATTTATTTTAGCCAGCTATTACTCAGAAAATTGATAATTTCCCTTCAAAAAGTATAACTGCCTTATTCAATGACTTCCTCATAGGTTACAGATTATAATTATAGGCTTGAAGGCAGTGGAGCATTTAAATCACAGAATTATCTCCATTGTAGCAAGTGGTAAAAATCACCATCTCCCACAATTTCTTTTGATGCTGTTAATACTTTACAACCCCCAAAAAAACACATTTGCACAATACTATGCATATGTTTGCTAGTGCTATGCTAAATACCCCTAAAACAGAGGTTGCCATAATGGTTTAGAAATTCTGCTTTTCTATGTAGGAGACCTGTGTGGTTGCTGGAATCAAGGCAAGACACAGGGAGGGCAACTAGTCTTACTACTTAGAAGTACCTGTAAGCAATTGAGTGGAGTCGATGGCTCTAAAAAAGGCCTCACCAAATGCTTTCTGCAGGAACTGAGTTATCACAGAACAGAACACAATGAAGAACAGCAAAACTCCAGCGGGAAATGTCAGTATCTTGATATTTTACCTGTGGCATCTGTGGTGTGGTAAGATCCTCTGTTTCAGACCCAGAAAGAGTATGATCAGCTGATGCTAAAGAAGTATTTGAGCCACGCCGGGTTATGGGAGCAGCAGCAAGCTAGCAGGAAGAGAAGCAACTTCAAATAAAGCTGGATTAGAGATTGAACTACTCAGAGTACTGTTGAAAAGTCTTCTGGCAGTTTTCTTAAAGCGTATGCTTTAGTTGTAGGGATTTAAGTTTTGCTAACAGTTATGCCTACTTACAGACCATTATATACTGTTCCTGACATTAGATATTGCTCTAAGCATGACACTTGCCATGTGCTATTTTTGAAAACTGGTCCTAGGGTTTTTTTTTTTTCAAGTTGCTTTTAAATATATTAGCTGACCCACTTTTAAAACTTAATTGCTAGTAGTCTGAAACGATGAGTGAAATGGACATCTTTTCCTTACAGTTATTGGAGGCTGATCCTGATTACTCTTCAGACAATATTGCAATAGGCACACAAGTCAAAGTCATCTGCATCTCTCAATTATAAATTCAAGGGGGACAATGCAATCAATCTTGATTTTTGCATATTACCTAAATTAGAGCAGATCTTGTGTCATTCAGAGCCTAGGTTGTATCTCCAAGTCCATGAAGCGCCTCAACTAGATGGGCAAAAAACCTGACAAATCTCTACACTCAAATAAGCTTACCCAGAAAAATGACAAAACAAGACACCCTATTGCATATGAGCCAGTACTTTTCAAAGTCATAATTCACTGACTCATCAGTCCTCATCCTCAAAGCAAACCTACACAACCGCCATCACACCACCACCAGTAACGACATCTTAAGATTAGCCTTGGAAACAAATTCATAACTGCCAGACATTAAAAGTCAGGCTCTCAGACACTTTTTATTGCTCATTACAACTCAGTCTACTGACATTCTTTGGTATCATGACTGCACAAGTGTTTATGATTCACTTAATCTGAAGTGGTTTCCTGCAGCCTGTATTAACCTCATGCTTAACTGTCACACCTAGTATTGAACTGCAACACTTATCTTTTCCAGACTTGAAGAGGAGCTCTGCAGAGCTTGTAAGCTTCTCTTTTGCCAATACAAGTTTGTCTAATAAGAGTACCCTACCCACCTTCATGATCTACTAGTTGTGCTGGCAATTGAAGGCATAATCCACATATCTTTTAAACTAAAATAGAGCTTAAAAGTTTATTTTGCTATTCTACTCACGATGGTATATAATGCTTTGAAATACAGTACGGAGCTACAGATCTGGGAGTTAGCAGAAAAGAGATGATAAAAAATGTAAAATCAAGCTCTTTACTATACTCATTTGGTAGGCTCAACAAAACTTGGTCTCATGACAGCAGTATTTTGGCATAATTTACCTATAGAGTTCTTCAGTTATTTCTGAAAGCATAATACACAAAGTCACAATTGTCTTCTTTCATAGACTTTAATCTACCCTGGAGGAAAATTCCTTCCCAACCCCAAATATGGCGATAAGCTAAACCCTAAGCATGTGGGCAAGACTCACCAGCCAGACACCCAGAAATTCTCTATAGTAACTCCTATCATCCCTCCATTGACATATTTCCCACTGAAAATGAATGGTCAATTAGTTACCAAGATCATATTCTCTCATCAACCCATCCCCTTATCATAGAATCATACAACTGGAAGAGATCTCAGAAAGTCATCAAGTCCAGCCCCCTGCTCTAGGCAGGACTAATCCCATCTAAATCAACCCGGCCAGGGCTTTGTCAAGCCGAGACTTAAACACCTCTAGGAATGGAGACTCCACTACTTCCCTAGGTAACCCATTCCAGTGCTTCACCACCCTCCTAGAGAAATAGTTTTTCCTAATACCCACCCGGGCCCCCCCCCACCATAACTTGAGACCATTGCTCCTTGTTCTGCCATCTGTCACTACTGAGAACAGCCTCTCTCCATCCTCTTTGGACCCTCCCTTCAGGAAGTTGAAGGCTGCTATCAAATCCCCCCTCACTCTTCGCTTCTGCAGACTAAACAGACCCAAGTCCCTCAGCCTCTCCTCATAAGTCATGCTCCAGCCCCCTAATCATTTTGGTTGCCCTCCGCTGGACCCTCTCCAATGCGTACGCATCTTTTTTGTAGTGGGGGGCCCAGAACTGGACACAATACTCCAGATGTGGCCTTACCAACGCCGAATAAAGGCGAATAATGACATCTCTTGATCTGCTGGCAATGCTCCTCTTAATGCATCCTAATATGCCATTAGCCTTCTTGGCTACAAGGGCACACTGTTGACTCATATCTAGCTTCCCATCCACTGTAACCCCCAGGTCCTTTTCTGCAGAACTACTACTTAACTGGTTTGTCCCCAGCTTGTAACTATGCTTGGGATTCTTCCGTCCCAAGTGCAGGACTCTACACTTGTCCTTGTTGAACCTCAGATTTCTTGCAGCCCAATCCTCCAATTTGTCTAAGTCACTCTGGACGCCTATCTCTGCCCTCCAGCGTATCTACCTCTCCCCCCAGCTTAGTGTCATCCACAAACTTGTAGAGCAGAATTTTAAGTTTACCTGTGATGGCTGTTGAAGAAAGTCATTCTGACTTGGCAGTTTCTGTTCTTTAGAAACTTCGTAAAAATAAAAAGAGGGATTAGTCAAGCATATATATCTACTTTAAATTTACGTACTGCTTCTCAGCATAATTCAAAGACCTGCCTTTCAAAAAATCTTAAATTTGGACAACTACGCTGCCCTTTCTATCTACATCACACATTAAGCACATCAGAAAACTGAATACATTAAACCTAAACTAAGTCACTCACATTTAGGAAGCGCCATTTCATCTTGTGAAGTTAAAGCTCAAAGCAGTTTCCAGCAACAGAAACACTTATGCATCTTATTCAGTAAGGTAACTGATTCAAGGAAAAAAATTACTCAAAGCTTGAACAGCAGTAAAAACAAACATTCAGATTTATTGTTGTTCCAATCCAGATTTACTGTTGTTCCATAATACCCATTACTGATTTCTCTTTTCCTGTTTTGCAATACATGGTCATCTCACACATTGAAGGGCAACAACACAGCTTTAAAGCATCAGCATAACCGGAGAGTTCTATATTAACTGTTGCAAAGACAATAAGTATGTGTAGGGATTCCATAGGCTGTCAGTTCCATTATAAAATACTGTGTTGTAGATAGGAACACAAGTACACTGTGAAGGATTGAATTATAGGTGAGCAATGAAAATACTGAGCCATATAATTTAATCATGTTTAAGTGTCAGGTTATGTAACAGTTAATCTACAATCCTACAACTAAATGCAAATTTAGGTTTCTGTAAGTGATTAGAAATTATTCTATTACCATTTAATGAAATTATAGCCCTTAAATTTAGGCACTGAAAGATTATCAGATTCTACAGAGAAATAGTTTTCCCATTATTGCTATTGGTGATACACAGCTCAGATGAAATATTGTTCCAGCCAACTTCAAGAATTCAGATTCTATTTAAAAAGTTTACCTACCTGCTGGAGTTACTGAAGGTTGTTGTGATGAACAAATAGCACTTGGTGAAGCTTTATCAACATCCAGGATGGACTCCTTCAAAAGAATATAAAGTTTGTGAAATGGGAAAAATTAGTATTGTTCAGATCAAGAGATCCAAAAAGTAAATATTCTTAGTCTGCTAAAAACTTTCAATAATTTAGCCAATGGTATCTAGCTTTACTCCGGTAACAAAATAAGTTAGTACAAATTTCCCAAAAATATTACCTGTTACTGCAGGATAAACAAGACATACCTGCATGAAGTTGTAAGTCCCTTGTATCTGAGTCATCAAATCCTGCAGTTTTTCCCTCCTTAGTATAGGATCCTTTGGAAGAGTTGAAGTAGAACAAAATTCTGCAGCTGATTGATGTCCAGGTTTAGGCACCTAATATGTAAAGTGAGGATATAAACTGATGCAGAAGGGAAACTTGCAGTAAGCAGTCTGACAAATATAAAACAAGTACTAAACTGGTTATTGGCATTTCCTGACAAGACTGGACGGACAAATTCACACAGTTTACTTAAGTCAGTTTACTGTAGTCTCTGGATCAAGCTCATTTAATACCTTGTTAAAAAATAAAGTTTGGCTGAATAATATACCTAACAAGTAACAATCAGCTTTTAGTACTACCTAAGAAAACTTTCCAGTAGGTTTATACCTCAGTTCTCTTAGTTTTATTTCAAGAATCTGAAAATTGTTCAACTTAATTTAAAAATTAAGTTGCACAATTCAAGGAATTTGGAGGTATGCTTCTTCCCACAGCCAATTAGAGTGATAAAACACTGAGATGTCCTTTTTGGGAGGTGGCATTTCCTAAGAAAAGGTTGCATGAGTACAAGTTCAGAGTTGTATGAAATACATTATACCTCTCCAAGAAAAAGGATTTTGAATGCAGCTTTTGTGAACCATTTCAGACTTGATAAGATCTTTGAGCTGTGTCATACGCAAACCAATCCACAGATTACATTCTAGCTTCTTTCCGTATCTGTGGAGTAGTTCTCCCTCACAACAGCAATCACTCCAAGAGTGGGATGGGATATTTTCAGTTAAAAAACGGGTTACATAGCAGAACCCCTTGAACTTTTAGGACTTTTAAAATTCGATACACTGCAAGAAACTATTCTTATTAGTAACTAGTGACAGTGACTAGATGAGTGGTTCTCAAAGTTTTTGGCCTGTGGACCATCTAGCTCAATGCAAATCTTTCTGCAGACTATCAGATGTTAATGAGAACCCACTGTTAATTACATCCAAGCCATTTTGCTAGGGCTACAGCTGGGGGAAAATTAAAATTATTTTAACAGATTAAGCATTTTAACACTCATTAATTTATCAAACTTCATTTTAAATAAAGTAAAATATTAATTTATGTTCAACAAAAGGCTTCAATGTTTTATTTATTTATGGCAAGGGTGGGGATCTTTTTTGGTTAAGGGGCCACTGACCTACAGAAAAAAAATCAGCTGGGGACCACACAAGCAGCAAACACTCCAAACCCCCCTCCCCATCTTCACTGATGTGGCCCCCAACTGAGACACCTCACTCCAGCCCCATGGGGTGAAGCGAAGGAACAGGGAGGAATGAGGCTCAGGACTTTCCATAGGCCAGATTTACTTTTCTGGGATACTGGAGTTAGAGGATTGTGGCCCTCTTAGGCTCTAGGGTGGGGACCAAAATGAGGGGTTCAGTGTAAGGGCATAAACTAGCCATTAACTGACTAATCAAGTAGTCAATGGAATTGCCATTGACTATTTGATAGGCACTTCTGCATTCCTCCTTTGATATGTACAAGAGCTCCCACTGACTCAGGGCTGCACGCGGATGCCAGCTTTGAAATGCACAAGAGTCCCAAGCCTCGGCATTTCAAAGGGGCAGCACCACACAGCTGATCCCGGGATCAGCTGCGCAGCACTGCATGTGTGGAACATAGGGTCAGCTGGGGCTCCCCAGCGGATCCCGGGTTCTACGGAAATATCGCACTTGGGGAGGGGGAAGATGGGGAACATCCCTAGTTCAGTGTATGGGACAGGGCTTCCAGCAAGTGGGATAGAGATGTGGGCAGTAGGTAAGGTGCATGAGGGGGTGAGGGGGCAAGGTCTTGGTAGGAGGTAGGGTGCAGAAGCAATCTTCAGATAGGGCACCTGGCCAGGGTGGAGGGATCAAGACCAAGGGACTGTGCAGGAACAATGGTGAATACAGGAGCAGAGTGGGAATAGGAGTCTTGCCAGGAGGGAGGGTGCAAGAGCAAGCTGGGGGTGCACTGTCTTAGCAGGGGAGGGGGATGAGCAAAGGGGATTGGGGTGCAGGGCTCTGGGCATGAGGGGACACGCTATCTGGCTTCATGCCCCTGTTGCTCCCATTGGATGGTGGTTTGTAGAAAGCTGCTCCCTTGTAGGATTGTGCTACTAGGAGCAGGAACTGCTATAATATATTGCTACCAGCAGTAGCACAATCCTACAGGCTATTGTTCCTAAGAAAAAGGCAAATGTTTAGAATTGCTACCCATTTCAGCACTGGGGTGGAGGAGCGCTTCTATTGTCCTCTGCACTGGCTTTGTGTTAATGGCAACCAAATGGTACCTTGCCAGCACAGGAAATCCTGAGATTCCAGGTAGTTTTTCCACAACGGTACAGTGCAATGCAGGGGTGCGGTGCACTGGGCACAGCACAATACAGAACCAGTTTACACCAGCTCTTCAGTGAGGAGTGAAGGTAGGGGACAGAGTCCCTTAGTGATGCTGTTCCTTCTGGCTGCGCCTCACTCCCCCTCCCCAAACACTCCTCCATGGGAGACAGGCAGCACACTTGCCTGGCTTTTGGAGAAGTCCCGCTCTATGTGGCTGCCCTACAAAGCAGCTCTCCCCACCTTGGAAATGAAGCTGCCTGCATGGCTGAGCAGTAGGCAGAAAGGGTCCGTCCCACAAGGGAAAGGCCTCCTGGATTCTCTGGATGCTTCCCCAACCCCGATGCCCTTTATTTTTATTTTCAGATATAATCTGCCAGATAAACAACTTCCTCCAAAATATATCTGTCTTCTTTTGCCTTAAGTTGTAGACAATACGGTGCTTAGCAAAGTTGGGTACAAGTATATATCCATTCAAGTGACAAGACAGATATTAGAAGGCCTTACATGGTCATGTGATTTGCACTTCACCAAGCGAGTGTTCACAATTCTATAAGCTACTTTGTGTAGCAAGATGAGGGCCTGAAACAAGTCTGTGTAGCACAGGCCTGAGGCTGAGCTAACAACGGGCAAAACTTGGCTAACAAAGCAAAGCTAAGCTGTGAGCAAGAGGCAGGCTCCTGCCCACAGAACTTGGCACGGTCAGGGCTGAGTGAGCAAAACACTCATTGTTAATAGGCCCGGGTGTAGAACAGTAATTAGTACTGATAAGTTGAAAGCACATTCCAAAAGGATGGTACCTCCAACTCATTAAGACCTTGGTATCCACACTCCCCCACAGATAACGGCCCAGGTCCAGGAAAGGGTCTAACATCACAGTATAATGCAGGCATGTCCAAAGTCCGGCCCGCGGGCCAATTGCGGCCCGTGTTGCGGTTTAATACGGCCCCACACGTAATTTGGCAATATCTATCTTTTATGGCCTCCAACGAATCCATATGTATGAGATGAATACATTGTAAAATCTCAGTTAATGTCAGTTGGTCTAAATCAGTTATAAATATATTTGGACACAACATGTATACTTGGTGTTATGTTCCTGTTCATATTTTTTGAACTTAAATGTTGACAGACAACCTTTATTACCAATAATATGTAATGTACTTTACAATGTTCCTGACATATTTCAGCTTCCTGGATTTTTTTTTCCATCTGGCCTTCAGATATGAAAGGCAGAGTGATTTAACACCTGTTTAGATTTGTCATCCATGTGACGAAATGAAAAGTATGCCGTTTGCAATAAACTTTGCATAAAATAGTTAATTTGCATTTAATTTTAATGGTTCAAAGAATGTCAGGCAAAATGGTCGGCCCTCACGCATGTTCACTTCTTCAAATCTGGCCCTCTGAAAAAAGTTTGGACACCCCTGGTATAATGGATAGAGATGTTTTAATCAAACCACAAGGTGTGGGGCAATGGGTGGTCTCCAAGTAGCATCAAAGGGTGGCAACCTGACAGGTCAGGAGTAACATGTAACTTGTTTGTACCTATATATAAAAGTGATGTCCTGGAGGGGCAGTGAGACCTCCCATTGATTGAGTCCATTGTTATAAGGTAAATATGTAGTGGTTTTGTCACATCTAATGACAACTATTACTGTACTTCATTTAAGGATTGAAGCTCCCCAGACAGGTTTATCATCTGATTTGGGGGCTCTTAGTCTGTGTTGACTAATTGCACATTGAGCATACAAGCATGCAGCCTTCTGGTTCTCATCACTGATGGAGCAGACCACCTGTCAGGACACCACAACAGTAAATCTTGACCTTACTACACTTTGTAGTAATAAAGTGAGCATAAGCAGTGCTCCAGACCACCACCACCATGGAAGTGGCTAGAAGAAAATTTGGCAGAAAGGTTCACATCCCCATGTGACCATAATAGTTCTGAGTAGCAGGCTGGACAAAGCTAAGTTGTGCCTCAGTTTTACAGGTTTTTAACTTACTATGTGGGTCTGCTTCTGCAGACAACCAATGTTTTCAGCTATCTTACTTCTTCGAACCCTATCAACCTAATTACTTGTAACATATCATTAAACAAGTTTCAAGGTTAAAATATGTGCAGTCTCCTAAACAAGAGAAAGTTGGATACTGCTATATGATTCCAACTCTCCAATAAGCTCAAAAATTTAGACTAGATATCCTTGGAAACAAACCTCATACACTTCCCCTGAACATGAGTTACCAAAAGTTTAGAGTAAGACTTACTACTCTTTGTGCCTACCCTCAGTGTAAAGACACACAGTAAAGGCCCACAGTGTTTTAAAAAGAGCTTCCCCATGGTGTTCAACTCTCACTATTGCTCTACAAATGGATAGCAATACTAATTGAGAACTTACCTGTTAAGTGTAGGTGAACTAAAATACACCAGAGCCAAACCTAACAAGGGGTCTATTAGACATGCACTCTAAACATAGGCACACAAGCCACAGCTTTCTATTTTATCCTCTTCATCCTCAATGCTGCTTAATCAGCCTGTACAGCTTCATACTATGAGCCAGACTGAATTATGTCCATACTCTTACTTTATGGACCTGCCACCACTGTTTTAAGTATTCACTTCTAAAATTAACAGGAATGCTATCAACAGAGTCAGCATTTTATCTGTAAAAAAAAAAAATCACTCTTTGTAATGCAGTTTGACAATACACACAAGTCTGTGGAAACTCCAGTACAGCAGGTTAAAGTGATGTGGAAATTAACTCCCTGCTCCACATAGCAAGACTGAAGAACTAGATACAAGCATGCTTCATTAAATACTACACAAACATTCAATGCTGCATAAAGACCAATTTTTGTGCACTACAAGTATGTGACTGATTTTAGTTTTATATGTCTGACTAGCACACCTGTACATGGTTTTGGAGACTCCTAGGTAGTTTAAAACTTTCTCCAGCTGATTGGAGGACCTCCTTTTTTCTTACTGCATCAAAGCCATGTCCACCATTTAATCCATCTGTTTTTCCATCCTATATAAAGTAAGAGGCCCATCTGATTAGGAAGCATCTCAAAGCATAAGCTTTAGAAACCAAACATTGCTCTGAACTATTAACAAAATGCCAAGTTATGCACATAGCTATGAACACTAGAGCCATTAATGTTTTGAACCATTTAACAGTATGTCATTAAAAAGCCAGCCTCTCTCCTCCCATAGTAACAATACCAGTGAAAGCATGCAATTTTACAATATACCTCAGTGATAAGTGTTCCTGAAGACCAATTTAATTGTGTGTACATGCTTTGCTAAATAACCTTATTCCCATTCTTTATCACCCACTGTTTTACGTTACCCACTCGTTTCACGTCAGATTCATGCTTCTGTCTGCGCTCCCGTCTCTAGATACAAGAGCATCCACTTTTCAATAGTGTGTCACATTACATTGATTGTCCATCTAATCTAGTAATTTTGAAGTGGTTTTAAAACAAATGAAGGTGGGCTGGACAAATACCTGTGCACAAGTCTAAACTTGATTTTTATTATGCATTTAATATACCAATTTCTCCAAGCTGTTACAGTTAGCAACTTGTGTACACAGTTGGGGAAGAGTAAGAAGAAATGTAAAAATTAAGCTGGCCTATAATTAGATCCTGCAATACCTCACATTCTCTATACTAAACCAAACTGATCAAATAAATACAGATTGAGACACTATTTTATAGTTAAGACTCTAAACTCGTTACTGAAGCACAATTTGTTCATAATTCCTAAGTATTTTATCCTTGGCTGAGAGAGTCATACCTGCTTTATGGTGTTAATGGAAATCAACATTTGCAGAGCTATCAACTGCAGAAGAGCTAAATGAATTCTATTTTGTCTTATGCAAAAATGTAATTTTCATTTGAGTCCCAAATGCAGTATTACTGGGGTTGATGCATGAAGCAAGAAGAGCATTTTGCTTTTCAGATACATGGAGTTTTGTGATATCAGTTAAAAACTGAGTAACCTACTCAGGAGTAACATGACGAGTACAAAACTCCAGAATGCAACTCACAAATTCTCTGGCTACTGTATTACTTAGGTTTGAAATACCTGTATCATAATAAGCTTAGAGTCTTACTGCATATGCCAACTCACATCTTTGGGTTCCACATCAAACTTCTTTGGCCCAATCTGCTCCTTTGGCCCAAAACTTCCAACTGCCCAGGACTTGGGAGTATTCTGTAACTGCTGCAATGAGGCTGGCTGCTGCCTGTCAGATGTTTCCCAAGCTTTTGGAGAGTCCAGCTTCTTTTGGTCTGTCTCCTCCCTAACACGTTTGTCCCAGGATTTCACAGGTTCCTGCTTCTTTTGTTCTGATTCCTCCCTGACACGTGGTTCCCAAGGCTTCACAGGTTCCTGCTTCTTTCGTTCTGGTTCCTCCCTGACACGTGGTTCCCAAGGCTTCACAGGTTCCTGCTTCTTTCGTTCTGGTTCCTCTCTACTTTGGGTTACCCAAGACCTTGGAGATTCTTGCTTTTGATCTGTCTCTTCCTGAACTTTTGTAACCCAAGGTTTTGGAGACTCCTGTCTCTTTTGTGCCTGCTCTTCCTGAACTTTTGTTGCCCAAAGTCTGGGAGATTCCTGCTTCCTCTGTTCCTGCTCTTCCCGAACTTTTGTTATCCAAGGTTTTGGGGAATCCTGCTGCTCCCTAACATGTAATACCCAAGGCTTTGGAGTCTCCTGCTTTTTCTGTACATCCTTAACACTGGTTTCCCAGGGCTTTGAAGATTCCTGCTTCTGCCCCTCCTCTTCCTTAACACAAGCTTCCCAGAGCTTTGGAGATTCCTGCTTCTGCTCCTGATGCCTAACACAAGATTCCCAAGGCTTTAAAGATTCCTGCTTCTGCTTCTTCTGTTCTTGTTCTTCTATATCAACAAGCATTTCCCAGGATTTTGGAGGTTCTTGCTTTCTAGTGTACTCTGCTTCCCAAGGTTTGCTTTCTTCGGGCTTCTTGATAGAGCATTCTACTTCAGGCAAATAGCGCCTGTTGAGAAACTACACAGACCAAAGAAGTTTAGAGGATCCTAAGAAAAACTGAGAAACTCTAGTGGCAAAGTTAAACCCAACAACTTTGTTAGGTCACTCAACTACAGACAACACAGGAAACCAGTTTAAGAACTGCTTGGTTCCTGTACTTAGTGACATGATTTTATCCTATAATATTGTAGGCATGAATAATTACTTTTTGGCATGCTGCAAAGGAGCATCACAATTAACTGAACCCAAACATCTAGAACAGTGATGGGCAACCAGGACTACTGAATGGGTCACTTGAGTGGCACCATCTCAGTGGGCTGCAGTGGTGGGCAATCTGCAGATCACTGGGGTTCCACTTGCAGCTCCTCCTAAATGCCTCTTGTGCACTGGGGCCCCACACTTTCTACTCCTCCCCCTCTCCCAGCACTTTCAGGGCTCATCTAGGACTACACAAAAGTGTCCAAAAAGGATATGCAAATTCCAATTTTTCAAAAGCTCTCAAAATGAGGTTTATATGGCTTTTCGAAAAAGGGGGAGTTGCCCAAAAATGCGTCTTTACTGAAAGCTCTATCAGAAGATATGCAAATTCCTCTTTCAACACTTTAGTAGAGTCTAGATGAGCCCTCAGAGCACCCTGAATCTGCTCATTTGTGTTCTAGCCCCACTCCAGCAGCTATTTGCAGCTGTTCAAACTCTGGGAGGGCGAAAGAAAAGTAGTAATTGTGGGGCTCCAGTGCCCCAGTGCACAAGAGACACATGAGGGAATGGGGCAGAAGGGGAACCCCAGTAGGCCACAAAGTTGCCCACCACTGATCAAGAAACATGCCCAAATTGAGTAACCTCAACCTTGTTGTTCTTAGCATGGCCCTTCCTCTTTCTCTATTATCCACAACCATGCCATGTCTAAGCTTTAATTGTAATTTCTACATGGTATGGATCACATCTTGTACAATGCATAACACGTCTTAGTGTGAGTATTACGAATACTATTTCTTCCATTGAAGAGCAAAAAAATATGAACAATCTTGCTCTTGGCTTATTTGAGCGCAGCAAGCCTCTAAACAAACTAGTTCTTCCTAAACAACGAGTTGTGTGTGCACGCTTTATTATAACTATATAAGCTTTCATTGGCAAAACCCACTTCCTCAGATGAATCAGTGGAGAAAAAGGGGGGGGGGGAGACCCTTATTTACTGGAAGCTCTGATCATAGCTAATAACCAATCTTAGAGAATTTTTTTTAATCACTGCCACTAGTGACAGCACATTACTGCTCAAGGAGCCATGAACTTAGATTATTATAAACTGGAAGTAGCTTGCAGAGATTATGCTATTGTAAGCCTATGGGACAGTAAAATTATTGTACGGTGATATCACTTACTGGCTGCTTAAGTTACAGTACAAATTTGAAGTGTACACTGGCTGGACAGAGCCTAGAAGACTAAATTTAAAGTATAAATATCTTATGTGCTATCCTACTTCTAGTGGAATGTTTGGGAGATTGGGACACCTATATTTTGCATAAGATTGGATATTTCCAGTTGCTTGATTTCAAGCTGCCAAAAAGATCCAGAAAGCTTCTGCTTTATGCTGTTACTCTGATACATGAGAGCAGCCTAGTAGCTCTGACGCAGATAAAGGATGTGAGAGCCTGTTGAGCTAAACTATAGCAATTTTTACTGTATCAATTAATAACTAAGCCAACATGTAGGGATCCTTACTTTAGTTTGACAAAGCCCGAACACCATTCTTAACTATGCTATAGTGTGAAATCTAGACAGCGTAAAAGTTTGAGCCTAACTTTTTAGAAGACACCTTTACTTATAATTGTGTATTGTCTGATGCAATACTAGAGAATCCATCTTCTGATGCATCAGTCTACACAATCTGATCCTTAGTTTTCACCACTGAATTTATAAAAAGTCACCCAATGGGTCAGCAAATTAAGCCATTCCCACTCATATCTAGCAGAGTTACATTCCACTCCATATATTCCATGAATGTCAATGTCCCTGTGAATTAAGGCTAAAAGATTTACTTGTGTCTACTTTGGAAGTAGCATATCTAGACCACTGTTAGTCCAGCAAACTTTAAGATCTGGCAACATTTTAGCCAATTCGTAAACTGCTTCTAGAATATCGGAATCAGTATTAGTATACAAGTCTTAAAAGAAGTTATCATCCAGAGGTATAGCTAAACACAACTGTATGCTTTCTATCAAACAGGTAGTTAAAATTATGTATTTTACCTCTTGTGGCTGTATCTCAGCCTGCAAAAGCTTCATCAGGGGTTCTAGGAAAAAGGATTAAAGTAATTTGCTTCATATTACATAAATAAGCACAAAACCTTTTAGTGACCCCACCAAGTCCCTAAAAAACAAACAACATGACAATGAATTAGTTAACTCACTTAAATTGGTGACCTAAAAGGATTCTCTCAAACATTCATAATGTACATACTACAGGTTGAACCTCTCCAGTCTGGTACCCTCAGGACCTGACTGGTTCCATACCAGATAATTTTCTGTACCACAGGCAGATCAATATTGCCTAGCAGCATTACCAACACTTCCACTAATTACTAGGCTATTTGAGGACATTTAGGGGTAAATTAGAGCTAAACAGCAGGGAACACTGAGAATTAGGATTGATATCTAAACAAGCTTTATGGGGCCACAGGAAACTTAGCCACACCTACGAAAAGTGGAAATCAAGCTAACAAATCATTCTGAACAACACAGCTACATCTAGACTAGCATGATTTTCCATTAAAAGCATTTGCGGAAAAGTGTGTCTAGATTGGCAAGGACGCTTTTCCACAAAAGCGCTTTTTGCGGAAAAGTGTCCGTGCCAATCTAGACACGGTTTTGCACAAGAAAGCCCCAATTGCCATTTTCACGATCGGGGTTTTTTTGCGCAAAACAATACAGCTTTGTCTACACTGGCCCTCTTGTGCAGGGCTTTTGCCCGAATAGGAGCAGCATAGCATTTCCGCAAAAACACTGACAATCTTACATGAGATCAGTGTTCTTGCGGAAATTCAAGCTACCAGTGTAGACAGCAGGCAAGTTTTTCCGCAAAAGCAAAAACTTGCCAGTCTAGACGCAGCCCAGATGTTTTGTGACCAGACTTATGGATTAGAGGGATTCAACCTGTACATGAAATGTCCTTAAAGCTTAGGTCTTGCCAAACTTAGATTTTTACAAAAGCGTAAAAGGTACTGCAAGGGAATGTTTTTTCTGAACCTATAAACCCAAACACTCAAGTGACATTTACCACAACAATCATTTCCCACAGCTTGAACAATGAGGTAGAGAAAGAGCAGATTTCATACTAGGGATGTTAAATTTCAATTAATTGACTAATCAAATAGTTGACTATTCAATTAGTCAATAAGGGTGCTTCTGCCTCTGAAGTGTAGCAAAAGGCCCAGGGCTGTTGCTACACTTCAAAGGTGAAAGCACTGTGGGGAGCACTGGACCAAAGGAGCAGTCTCCCACTGGCCCCCTATGTTCCCCATAGCATTTCAAAGCAGCAGTGTCACGTGGAGCCCAGAGTCAGCTAGGGATTACCCCAGGCTCCATGCAGCTCTGCCATTTTGAAACTCAGCCGGGGGGGGGGGCGCCTCAGTGTCAGGCTTCACACAGCTTTTCAAAGTGGCAACACCACAGAGCAGCAGGGGAGCACCCAGCTAATCCCAGACTGCACTGCTGCTTTGAAATGCTGCATGCAGACTGGACTCCCCAGCCGGCCCCGGGCTCCCTGCAGCACTGCAGCTTTGAAGCCCCCCCCCACCGCCGCTTCTGATAGTCACGATAGTGTGTTGACTATCCGATAAGTATCATGGGTATTAAATAGCTTAAACTGAATTTTTGATTCAGTGCAATACTAATAGAGAAGCTACTCTTACGGATGTTAGGTGTTCAAACCAATACCAACTCTTCAGTTTTGGGCAGTATATTTCACTGATATTCCAACTGAAATTATATGTAATATAATACAAAAAAATCACTGGTATAAGTAGCTGCATACTTGCAGAATCATTAAGTTTATAAAACCAAGCCATCCAACATCTTTGAACACTCAGATGTTTGAGAAGCTTATCTTCAACATGGATCAGGAACTCTATTTGGAAATATATATTCAACCTGGTTCTTTGACAGACTCTCCTTTCGGCAACTGTCTTGTTCTCTCAGATTTTTTCCCTAGTTCCTCTTCCAGTTCCTCTTTCAGTTGCATATGGCGAGGCGTCGGAATATTTTCAAAATACCCAGAATTTAGGAGTTTGGATAACAATTCCTTCATATGTTTATCTGAAGAGTAAAATAAAAAACATGATATTCAAGTTGGACATTAAGAAGTGATAACACCTTACAGTTTGATGATGGGCTGTTGGAAGCTTCAAGAAGATACATATCCCTCTACCTCATGCCTGGAGAAGTTTGTCCAATATTACCTCTGAATGACTTTCCTTTAATATTCTCTAGGCCTTGTAGTTAGCTTTCAGTACAAATACATCACTGACATAACTTCCGTACATCTAAACTAATCATAATTAACATAATGTGCTTTCAGTGGACAGCTTACATACCCCTTTTCTGGCAATTCAGAGGATCTCCGACACCCTATGTACCACATGCCCTCTGCTAGTTAGCATCAGGAGTTCCCTGGTTTAGTTAGATTTATCTAGGTAACAGTAGATTAGGTGAGGCTATGGACTAAGATTGGACCAAGAACACAGAATTGCTTAGTATCAAAAACTGAACTTCATGAAGGACTGGTGCACAGCAGTCAGATACAAGCAATGAAATAAGAGCAAAGTAACAGGAAAGCCATTTAAATCTGCGCAAGTCCAATAAGATTCTGTGCTTTAGTGTCTACTGAAGGGGACAAGAATAAGGAAGAGGACCGCCAGCAATATTATCTATGCAAGAACTTGTTGGGCTATAGATATAAACCAAGAAGCAGTTTCCCTTTGTTCTGTTCTTCTTCCTGAAGTTCATCTAGGACTGAATAAAAATGTGTGGAAAGTTCAGGATTTAGACAGACTATATCTTTCTGACCTCTCATACAGAGCATGTGTGTTAACTACCATAAAATCTCGAGCATAATGTGCACTTTTTTCCCCATTTTTTGGTGTCAAAGTCAGGGTGCGCATTATATTTATATTTGAGTTTTTGGGGTTTAAGCCAACAAACCTGGAAGTAGCCCCGGGTTGGGGAACTCCCCCTCTCCTCCGCACAGAAACTACCCCCCAGGGCAGCACGGGGGCTGCCACCCCGCCAGGCTCATGGACAAGGTGAGGAGCCAGCAGTGCTGCCAGGCTGCAGCACCCTGGCTTGCTGCCTTCAGGCTGAAGCAAATGCTAGCTCAGCACAGCGTACGGGCACCTGTCCTGGGGAAGCGGGGGCAGGTTTCAAACTCCGGCATCTGCCGCCCAGGCTGCACACGCGTTTCCCGGGCGAGCCTACAGGTGGGAGCGGTGTGTCCCTCCCTCCCCCTCTCCTGCAGCCCGGGGCCAGCTCCGGGAAGTGGGCGAGGCTGGGCTTGGTGCTGGCGGGTCAGCTCCTGGCTGCAGGCCATGCCCAAGCTATATATGAGTATAGATATATAGGTGCAGTGTAGGTACGCATTATTTTACATATATATAAGTTCAGATTTTTGTGTTATGCTAAGATTCAAAAGTCAGGGTGCACATTATGCATCGTGCACATTATACGTGAGATTTTACAGTACTTACTAGGGGACAAAAGCATTGATGACTGTAGTTATGTAGTAAGCAAAGGTGGAGATCGGGCATAGTGAGGGAAAATTGTATAGGTGGCAGTGGTTTTGAGAGACTGTGGCAAAGTCAGAGGGACAAGCAAGGGCAGGTGTAAGATTAGAGAGCTGTTCTATCCATAGGACTGTATGGTAACCACCCTGTGGCCCTGTACTTCAGGGTGATGCAGAAGTGAGGCCGAAGGCAGCCCAGGGGCATAGCAGGACACCTGGTGACAGGCCCACCCCTGCACTCACTGAGGGTAGGAAATGGAGTGACCTAGAGTGGTCCACTCCACTGGCTCCCAGCATCATTCGATACAGAGCTTAGGAGAAAAGGTGGAGTGGGGGCAGGAAGAAGTCCTATGGGGTCTGGGGCAGAGGTGATGTCAGGACTCCACAGCCTTCTTGGAACACCACAGGTTTTTAAAATCAGGGTTATCTCCACACAACTAATTACATACAACTCAAAGAATCACCAAGTAGAGGACAAGCTTATGAAGTCAAGAATACCCTGAGAGAAAATCTTTCACAATGGGAGATGATCATTACAAGATACATATATAGCAGAAGCAGGCAAGATATGGCCTGTAGGCTGGATCCAGCCAACCAAGCCTGTTAATTCTGCCTGCCCATGTGCATGGAGCAGCACCACTCAAAGCAGCTAGCTGCTCCTTCAGGCTCTGTTCTGAGGAAGTGCTTTGTGCACTGCCCTGACCACACCACTCTCTCAGCTCCCATTAGCCTGTTTCCACCTTCCAATCAATAGGAGCAGTGAAATTTTGCTGTTGGTGGGGGCAGTGCACAAAGACTCCCAGCAACAAAGATATATGGAGCAGTCTAGGGCTATTAGGCAAAATTCCAGGTTTGCCATGTATACTGCTGGCTGGGAGCTGCTTAGGTAAGCACCTCCTGAGCACCTCCTGACCAGAGCCCATCTCTGGCACCCCAACTCCTTCCCAGACCCGGCACACTCTCCTACATCTCTTCCCCGGGCCATAATACTCTCCTACACCCATACCCGTTCCTGGACTCTGCATCCCAGTCACCTGCCCCGGGTCACAACCCTGTCCTTCACCCGAACTGCTGACTCGACCCTGTCTCCTGCACCCTGTCCTTTACCCCCACCGTCTGGCCAGTACATCCCTTGACCATGTACCAAATCCTTGGAGTGGCACCCCCTCAAACAAAAATTGCCCACCACTGATGGATAGTACATAAACCTGTTAAGGGTTTCCCAGGTACAGGAATATTGACTTGCCCTCAATTCAAGCCTAGAAAACAAAGGAAACTGATGTAGCCACAGACAATGGGAATACTATTTGAATACTGACTTAACAGAAAAGAAAAGCTAACAGACACAGACCAGCACTATCAACATGGCATCCTCACCCTGACTGAGCAAAGAGGAACTTTAGTGGTATATGTCAGAATCACACATTTGTAAGGTTTACTGGACTTTAAGGCTACGTCTATACTACATGGCTCCGTCGACGGAGCCATGTAAAATAGTTTATTCAGCACACTCAGAAGTGGGGATTTAAATAATCCCCACTTCATTAAAATAAAAATGGCCACCACAGTGCAGACGATCAGCTGATGCGGCACAGCACTGCAGTCTAGACGCAGCACAATCGACAAAGGCTTCCTTTGTCAACCGCGCCACATCTAGACTGCCGCGCTGTGCCGGATCAGCTGATCATCTGCACAGCACGGTGGCCATTTTTATTTTAATGAAGTGGGGATTATTTAAATCCCCACTTCTGAGTGTGCTGAATAAACTATTTTACATGGCTCTGTCGGCGGAGCCATGTAGTCTAGACTTAGCCTAAGAGGGAAGAGAAAAGACACTGGCTACGTCTACACTGGCATGATTTTCCAAAAATGCTTTTAACGGAAAACTTTTCCGTTAAAAACATTTTCGGAAAAGTACGTCTAGATTGGCAGGATGCTTTTCCGCAAAAGCACTTTTTGCAGGAACGAGTCCATGGCCAATCTAGACGCGCTTTTCCACAAAAAAGCCCCATCGCCATTTTTGTGATCGGGGCTTTTTTGCGGAAAACAGTACTATGCTGTCTACACTGGCCCTTTTGCGCAAAAGTCTTTCAGAAAAAGACTTTTGCCCGAACGGGAGCAGCATAGTATTTCCAGAAAAGCACTGACGATCTTACATGAGATAGTCAGTGCTTTTGCAGAAATTCAAGCGACCAGTGTAGACAGCTGGCAAGTTTTTCCGCAAAAGCAGATGATTTTGCGGAAAAACTTGCCAGCTTAGACGGCCATTGTGATTATCCATCACTAAAAGAACAGAAAGAGCAATACTTTTTTAATCTGATAGCATCACATGCCCTCAGAGCTCGGATTCAGCTGACAGCTTTCGGTGAGAAGCTGACAGACAACGATTAAAACATAACAAGTTACAACCACTAGAAAGCATGTTATGCTTAATATGAAACCACTTGGTTTCTACTGTCTTTGCCTGACCTCACTTAAAGCTGATTTTATTGACAAACATAGCAACTCAAGAATAAGTTTATCAATGTAATGCATCAATGTGAATCCTTAGCAAAGCTAACAAGCTGGTGTGTATACTGCAGATTTGGAAATGTGAGTGTTCATTAATGGGCTGCATACTGCAGGACACTCAAGGAGGAGGAAGAGGAATTAAGCATATCAAGTGTTATCTGCAAGGCCAAGGAAAATTGGCAGAGTCCTGAGGAGTTTATTTGGTTGCTAACAGACAAATGTCAGGTAGCCAGTCAACCAGTTTAGCATCAGATCTCCCACTGAGGCAGAGCCAGAACCAAGTGGCTTATAGTTCTGGACACCCCCAGAAAGTGTCAAAGGGTGGGGCTGTGACAGGGGCGTAAGTAACAGCCCAAAAGTTACCTGAAGGTAATTGTCTTCAACAACTGAATACATTTCCATTCCACTGTGACTGAAGTTTTATAGAGGTGAAGTAGGAGTCACATCTGAAGAATTACTGTAGGACTACTTTGCCTTAGGCATGTTAAATATCTGTTAATTGAACAGTCGATTAGCCTCATGAATTCTTATCAGTTACTGACTATTCTAGAGTCCCTGGGGGCAGAGCTGGCAGCCAGGGCACTCCTGCCCGACTTCTGAGGAGCCCCCCATCACTCCATACTGCTGCCTCTGATAGAGGCAGCAGTGTGGGGTGCCAGACGGGAGCTGGTCTGTGAAGGTAGACCACTTAAACAGCTCCCCAATGTGGACTGGCAGCCAGTAGCCTTGTGCTGCTGCCTCTGATACCAAAGCAGCAGCATGGGGTGGAAGCAGCCCCTGTCCAGGGGTGGGAGTTTTGAGCTCCCAGCCCAGTTCGGTTCCGGCTAATGCTATCTGCTCACCTAGCTCCTAATACACTTTACATTCAGAGCCACAGCAGGGGTATGTCCCAGATCCAGCACAAGACAGATCTGTGGTGGGCTGCTGGCCAGCCTGCTAAAAAAGTTCACTGGTGTGCATGGGGGAGAAGAATGCATGTAGTCTATAGCATTAACATATAAGCTTTTGCTTACTGGTTAATCCACTATACTACTACATTCCTATTTTCCCTGCATTCACTTTGTCTTGATGCAGTTGTAAATTTGTGAATATCTTGCAAAAGTATACAGAGGTCTAGGCTGCTACCCTGCAAGTGTGAACAGGAACATTTCCCACAAATGCCAAGTGTGTTCTAGTTCAATGCAATAGACTTCAGGATTCTTCAGATCTTTGGCAGTGCAAGACAATCTGGCTGGCAACCCATTTAGAACATCTTTTACTCAAGCTGTCTCATCCTCTTCACCAAGGATAAAATCCTTTCAGATTTCTTCGACTTTGATTCCTATTCAGATAAGCCAAAGCTATACTGACAGATCAGAGTCAGGCAAAACTTTGGATTCTGAACTGGGAGTGGTGTGGATGGGGGGGTGAAAATGGAGGGAAGTCCTCAGCCGTGCCTTGCCCTTGTTAAAAATTCATGAGAGTCAGTAACCTTAGCATGCAATTTCCACATTTCCCAGGTAATGGCTACTAAAGCAGCCACCATACTATCAATCAAGAGGCTAATAATTCAAATAGAGGCTCTATAAAGAGCTATACAGCAAACTCATGTCACATGACAATCAGATCCTGATGCCAGTCCTCAGGAATCTGGTTGCCATGGTATAAGTAGAAACAGTCCTTTGAACAGTACAAGAGTGAAATGCAGAAGTTGAAGCCAAGCCCACTTTGACTGAATTGAATGCTAGATTCAGTCCAGTATTTTCTGGATTGAAAATTAAGACATTGTGATGAGCCACCCAGATGGAGACATTTCCATTTACTGTTGTGAAAGGTTTTCTACTGTTAGGAGAATATTCCAGACTGCTCCTGGACAGTGTGCTGCTTTAGGGCTTAGCCATACAGAAACCAGGCATGAAGCAAAGTACTTTTGGGTTCAGGTGCAACACCTGATCATGATTCTGAGCAATCAAATTCCCAGTTAGCAGCAGAAGAAAGGGAGCTTCGATGGATTATCTGCTCTGCACAACCCAAGTACCAGGGTTGTTTCTCCCAGGAAAGGGCTCTGAAGATCACCTGTCTCAGTCCTGTTTCAGTTTTTTTTATACCACTCTGAGGAGAAGAGGTATTGATGGGTAATCATACAGAAGATTATTCAATGAAAACAGATAAGCATGTGAGATGAAAGCCTGCTGTGACCTGCTCAGGAATAGCAGTACCAGAAAAGCCTTCTCTTCTATTTCCTAAAAATACCCCCATTCAAAAGAGACTAACACTCTCTGCTTAAGAGATCTAGTGACCTAGACTGAACAGTCTGCCTAATCAGTCTGCCAGGCAACTATAAAAGCCTGGAGCACGTAACACTTTAAGAATTACACAAGTTCTTGTGTACAAATCCCAGAATACTCAGTAAGCGATCTTGAAGTAGGTTATTTGCACAGCCTTTTGCAAATGTAAGGTGCTAAGTATATATACACACCTACCTGCCTAGGAACACTGAATATTTATAGAAAATGTTATTTATCTACTGCTCAAATAGACAAAAACTTACATGTTGTTCCAACCACGGCTTTCTCACTGCCTTCTAGAAGATCCCAGAAGTAGAGTGATGATTGCTCCATCTGATCTTCAACACTTGAAACCAAAAAGGAAAGGTTACACTAGAGAAGTCTCTTTAGCTATTAATTTTACTGCCTATGAAAATTTGTCGTCTTCAGCAGTTCTCTAATCCTGTTTCTAAAGGAAAGTAAAAGTCAGTCGCATTCTTTCAATGTGATCAACATGAATACCATTTAAAAATGAGACACTAAAAGCATCACATGCATTAACACAGGACAGCAACTCTAACAGTGTTCCTTATTTCAGTAGCCACTCTTTAGCTAGGACAGTGTTTTCAACTTGGCAATACTTCTAAACAGTTCTGTTTGTTGTTTTGAGACCCTTATTTTTAGTTTACTTTTTTGCCACTACTGGGTCCACAGTAGTATGAAGCCTCTATAATCCATTTGAGCAAACTCAAGCCCAGTCATTTCATACACTATTTAGTAGTTTGACCAGATATTGAGTTCCCTGTATTCAAGATGTGGAACACGTGTCTTGCAGGATAATCAACTACTATTAAATATTGTTGCAGATGTAATTATACCTATAAGGTATGTTCTAGTTATAAGACTAAATTTGGCTGGCCACCAATAATCAGTCAATCTGTACACACCTGCCTGAAATAAGGTTTTCCCTACTTCAAGGGCTAGTACACAGTTTGATAAGACAAGGCCTTCATAACATCCCTAATAGTTTGTGCCTCTTACTCAATAAGCATGTTTTTTTTAAAGTTGTGCAAGTATTCAGGTGCAATGGAATGTTTAAAGAATGCAGTAGCATCAACCAACACTGCAAATTTAGATCAGTAAGATTTTCCGTGCAGCAGCAAGAGTAACATGCTTTCAGCTGTTGATTACATTAAGGACTATGCACTTACTAGAACTACATAGGTAAAGGATCAGCAACCTGTAGCTCCAGAGTCATCTGTGGCTGTTTGGCTACCCTTTCTCCCAGTCACTTAAGAGCTCTGACATGGGAGCAAGGATGCTGTTAAGAAGCAAGTACAACCCCTCCCATGGAGCCATAGTAAAGGTCTCAGAGCATGGTTCCTGACAAGCATCACCTCAGCATCTTCCATTAGCCAGGAATGGGGAGCAGTGCTGGCAGAAAGGTGGCACTCAGCCACACACTCCCCACCCTCCAGAGCATGCTGGCCCCTTCCTGAGTGGCATGGGAGCAGGGCAGAGAAGAAGCCCACATTAGCCTCACTGCACTGACAAGTTTCACTGTATGCCAATCCAAAGCCCCCTCTAGAGCCAGCACTCCATACTTTGTCCTGCGCCCCAAACCCCAGACCTGCATTCCCTCCCAGAGCCAGCTATTTTTGTGTACGTGTACAAGTAGCTTTGTTTGATGCTGCTCTTCAAATACTTTGGTCTAGGGCCAAAAAAGGTGCTCTGAAAGGCTGCAAACCCCTGGTATAGGTAGTACTGTGTTGAGGTCAGCCAAATATGGTGAGAGACCACATGAATGGATTAAAGTGGAATTATGTCAGTATTAGCACTCTAGACCAGCAGTTTTCAACACTTCCAGAATACTGGAGGAGTCTGTTGTGTACCTCACGTTTCACCTCACTTGAAAGTTACTTGACAAAAAACACGAAGTGTGTCTGTACCATTACTGAAAAATTGCTTACTTTCTCATTTTTCCCCGTATAATTATAAAATCAATCAGGGTGGACTTAAGTGTTTTAAAAAGAGGTTTTATTTTTAAAAGGAATTTAGTATTGTATTTAAAAAAATTGGAGTTACAATTAAATATCAAACATGCTAACCCTACACAGTCTCAAAAAATAAATTAATGGCTTTAGTCTGTCCAACTTACCTAAAAGCTCTTGCTTCTTGAAAGTTCTGGACTTGAAATTGGTTTCAGACTAAAGAGTAACGTGTGCAAACAAAGAAACTAGACTGTGTTTGTGGTGGTGGATCTGGGCCAACCACAGCAGAGAGGTTAGTTAAGACATTCTTACACAATATATAGGAAAGGACAGAGGCAGCATAGAAAAGAACAGTGCGGTGGATGGGAAAGAAAAAAGACATTTGGCACACAGAGCTTCCTAAATTCCACCATGCTTTTAGCACAGAAAAACTCATGACTTCTGGGCACAAGATGGACCCTATCTGGGAATATTTTGAAGAAATTTGTCCCTGAGTAAAAAAGGAAAGTCAAGTATAAGCAGCACAAGGAAAAGATGCAGAGTTTAGTTGCAAGAATCCATCATAAGGGAACTGTTGATTGGGAAAGTGTTATGTAGATGAAGATGTGGATGCACCTGAAGGGATCAACTGGTTAGTAACTTAAATAATTCACTTTCCAATGCATCTTTCAAGAAGCTCTCCCTTCTAGTACAAGTGCGATATAACAAATTTCCAAGCTGTTTGTTGTGTTGGATGATACTAGAAATAAGTTTTAGCTAATCCTTGTGGCTTGTTTAATTAACCGGGTTAAGAATCTATCACTCAAGTATACAATACAAAAAACTGCAGTAAAAGAAATCTAGAGTTGCCAGCTGCCACTGAGTAATTTGTGTTTTACATTGAATACGTGGCCCTTATTGTGGAACATCAGGGCCACAGACCCTAACAGCAAAGTTGTTCCCTATTTTGCTCCAGCATCAGTGAGTTTCCCTCTAAGTTGAGTGCCTGGGCTGCTGCCCTGGCAAGATTCAGGTGCCACCCAGCTGCCTGGCAAAGTGTCCACAGCCAGCAACATCCTTTTCTATTGTTAGTGCACATCTGCACATGCCTCTGTGCATAACATTCTACACATGGATGAAAAAAATTAGTGGGAACATTGGAAAAGTGAGTTATACTGAACAAAGGAACCCCATTCAATACTGTTTGAGAAAACAAGTGCCAGTGAGTTCAATGGGGCTTACTTCAAAAGCAAGTGCACTCTATGCAGAGTCTGTTTTGGCAGCTTGATTTAACTCAATCCACTGACTGGAATGTAAATTAAGGATGTGAGTGGTTAACCAGTAACCCTCACCCTTAATGGGTAAGGCTTACCATTCTAGTTGACTGATGGGGGCTATAGTAGCTTCCCACGGATTACAGGCAGGGAGCTGCTCCAGCCCCACCTGGGCCCACCCCAGGCAGAGGGTGGCTCATCCCAGCCAGAGCAGCCACTGTCAGCAGTAGACCTGGCCTGAGCATGCTGCAAGCAGGGGCACCCCTCCACCCCAACCAGGCTGGAGCACAGCCGATGCCCCCTTTAATCAGTTAACCATTATGTTTAATCAGTTAAACAGAATTGTATATATCCTCCAATATAAATATACTTCCATTTTAGTGTAGAGTTTATAGAGCAGTATAAACAAGTCATTGTCTATGGCAAGGATTAACAATCTCTGGCACTCAGCTATCAGGACAACCCACAGGTAGGCTGAGATGTTTTGCCGACGTTGACCATCCACAGACATCTCCTGCAGCTCCCACTAGCTGCATTTCACCATTCCCAGCCAATGGGAGCTCTAGGAAGTAGCAACCAGCGCACACAGCTTCCCACAGTTCTCGCGGGTCAGGAATGGCAGCTACTAGGAGCTGCAGGGGGCCATGCCTGTGGACATTAAGTGTCCATAAAAGGTCTGTGGCCCACCAACAGGGGCGGCCTGTCCATACAGGTGAACTAGGTAGTCGCCTAGGGCACCAAGTTAAATGGGGCATCAAATGGTGGTGCAATACCATTGAGGGGTTTGGAGGTGGGGGTGCCAATTGCATGTTTCGCCTAAGGCATCAGTTGCTGGCAGCTAGTCTAGGGCCTCCCCTGCCCCCCAGCAGTTTACTCTGATGTTCTGAGTTGGGATGTTAAAATGCATGTAATTGTGTAGCCAACTGCTGAAAGTTTCAACAGTACAAGATTACACCTGGAGCAGCAGCCAGCTCCCAAGGAGCCAGTGCACATTGGGAGCTGGCTTTTATGGTGGCTCCTGCCCAGTGCTGCTGCCCCTGCATGAGAAATGTAGGGTGGCACATGGCTCCTAGCGTGCACCAGCTCCCACCTGCTACCTGTGGGTACTCCCCTGTCTTGCTTTTAAACCTGCTTCCTGAGCATACTGGCTCCAGCATGCCAGCCCATGGC